AGTGCATGTGTGTGTGTGCGTATGAGTGCGTGTGTGTGTGTGCGTGTGAGTGCGTGTGTGTGTGCGTGTGAGTGCATGTGTGTGTGAGTGCTTGTGTGTGCGAGTGTGAGTGTGTGTGTGTGTGTGTGTGTATGTGTGTGTGTGTGTGTGTCTGCCTCTGATACAGTACCTGCACTGTCATCATCTCTCAGCGTGACTTCTAAGCTGTGTTTAATTGTAACTCATTGAATCTGTGGAGGGCACAGAGACGACCTCAACAGAGAGCCAGTTTTCCCAAGCGGGACCGTAATGGAACTGCCGAGGATTCATTGGAACGTTATAGAAACATCAGTGCTGAGTTAAATTAACACACTCCCTTCTGAGATTAATTAAACTTGGCATAAAATGCCATCAAATTTATTTAATGGAGCTAACTGATCTTCTGAAAGCCAGACGCTGGTAAGTGGACGCTAGTCACCTGGATAGTCACCAACTACACTTAATGCTTGGCCTATGAATATTAATAGATTACATAGGCGGATGTTCCAGGAAGGTTACCTAACAACGTCACCTAATTAATATTCATGAGTTCATGTCATAATTTCATAAGCAGCATCAAAACTCACGTATTGAATGTTGGGTGTATTAATGTGCTGTTCTCACTAAAAGAGATTTGGAACAGTTTTTGTTATAAAAAGCACAGTGTAAATAAAAGGAAGTAAAAGTCAATAACACTTATTTCTGATAAATGAGAAAGAGCAAGGTCTTTACTATTTTTATTAATTCTTTCACTGTAAATAATAATCAGCCCCTAGCAAAATCCTGCAGCTCTTCAACAAGTATACAACTGTACTTCAAAGATGTACCGTGGAACTGCATCATCAGTAATATTCCATGTTGAATAACATATCCTCAATATCCGTTTGATTTCTAGACTTCACCATACGGTCTGGATTATGTGCATGTATCTGGATCTTCTGTACCTGCTCCAACCTCTTTCAGACCCACTTTTAAGAATATAAAAGCCAACAATGTGCACATTACACAAGCTCTCACACCATACACATAGAGGAGAATATCAGTGCTTCTCAGAATCATTAAACAAGCCTCAAACAATGCTCCAGTGCTTCAGTTCTGCTCTTATCTAGCACATGATGTGCAGTACATTCACTCTCCTCCAGACCCTGTAATGTCTGCCCAGAATACTCGAGTGGACTCAACCCAGGTGATGAGCATTCGCTGATATATTTAGATTTTTCTCTTAATCTAATTTTAGATTCATTCAAGACTTACCGAAGCCAAAGGCTGGAGACGCAGGGATGGGAGACGACTGGACAGAAGTGGAGGTGTAGAGACCGGTGACCAGCAGCCCATCGAAGTAAGTACTGGTGGAGATCGTCACTGCAGACACACACAGAGAGAGAGAGGAGAGACAGAGGGTCAGAATTCACTGATCAATGACATCTGAGGAAAATCCAGCAAAAAATACTCCACAGGTTAATTGTGAGAGGCCTTTGGAAAAGTGCTTTGGTACTCAAAGTAAGAAAACAGTTAAATGGATTTTCCATCTTAAAGGTCTACTTCATTATGGTTTGAGGGGAAAATGCTCATGGTGCATGGGAAGAAATCTGGGCTGTGTTTCCCAGAAGCATCGTAAGCCTAAGTTGATCGTAGCTCCATTGGTTTCAATGGGTCCACAATGTACTTAAGCTTACGCTGCTTTTGGGAAACGCAGCCCTGGTCAAACTTAGTAGTAAATTTAGATCTTATTTGGACTGAATCAAAGATTCAAACGGCGATTAATTTGGACTGGATGCTGCTAATGAACGAGACTCAAATCATCAATGTGATCATTTGGGCTGGTCACTGAACTAATTAGTCACAGAATCTGACCATTATTCTACTTTTGGAAAAAAAATCACAAAATCCCACATTAGGTCAAGGAAGCAGTGCCTCTCTCACAAAAATCAAGATCTGAGTAAATAACGTACAGTACATAAATAAACCAAGCAAAAATTACAAAATGAATTTGTTCTAAAGTACACAGTCCAACAGGCAACAACAGCAGATGACGTTTGGGAAGAGGATGCATCTCTGAGCTCATGGTGCTCTCTCTGAGGTCCTATAGTATTGGGCGAGTGACAGAAAACAGGTATATGCCACATGAGAGAAGGCAACGCCTCAATCGTACCATGATCGGCTCATTAATCTGTCAATGCGATACAATGCTCACCAATGGTCTGCAAATTCACATAAAAATCATGAAATGGAAATGGAATATGATTTTACATTGGTTCCTCAAGTCCATCACTCACTACTCAGTTAATTACAATTTCAATTACAAGCACACATACGCTTCCCTAGTAAACACATGCATTACTCCAAGCGTGTTTCTCATTGATTTGTACAAACTGAGGAACAAGACAAAATGAATGTCTGTAGTAATCAACAGGATGGCACAGATGTGGTCCAGAGACACCGAATGGAAAATAACCCAGAATCCTCCTGAAGAGCTGAGAGAGAGCAGATGTGTGTCCAGGAGGCGAACGCGACACCTCACCAGACGGCAGACGGCAAAAATACATTTTCTCATGGTGAAGATGTCACTAAACACTGTGAGGAAATACATCTTAAAAGAGTGTGAGATTGACAGAAGAGGGGGATAACAGACTACCTTGACATTCTGAGTCTGTAGAAACCAAACAACAGCAAACGTAACCAAGACACATGCAGTCATACTCAAAAAAAACAAAAAAAAAAACAATGCTGCTTAGTCAAAATTAAAATGAAAAAGAGCTAATGAAACACCATTCTTGAACATTTTCACAACTTCGTTTCATTGCATGCTTTTGTTTCTTTTGGCATTACAATGTAGCATTGCTGAAACTGGGCAGAGTGTTTTCATTCTTGGCTTGGGAGAGTGAATGTTGAGGTTATGTGTTATTTTAATTATGTGTGTTTTTCAGCAACATGACAAAAGAGCAGACGTGTTTGTGCTGAATCTTCTGTTATGCTGGAGTTTCTTTAGGTTGAAGAGCGGTGCTTGTGCGGTTGAAGATGCGCTGTAAAAGTGCATTAAAAGCTCTTCGTTCAGTGAAAAGACAGAGTACTTCATGACTAGACTGGTAATTGTTGAGACAAGCATTTTTCTGACGAGAAACGTGGTTCAAAACCACAAGCCAACAGCAGATCCGCTCTGAAAGCCTGCTGCTGGTTTAACCAACTGTTTGACAAAATCCCAGACAGACAGATCATGAAATAATCAAAGAAAATCATTATTATTAATAACATTAGTTCTAGTTTGATTATTATTTTACAAAAACAAATTACTAGACTCTCGCTATTTCTTTCTTTATGAGTATTCAAGGGAGAAGCGTGAGCACTCTATGTGTGTAAGAGTGTGTGTAGTTTGTCTAGACGTGGATACACTCCGGATTAAAAACATATCCCTCGTTCCTGCCTCTCTCCTCCCATGCCAGCTTCAATAATTCATCCTCTTACTGCCAGTGTAATATCTAGTCCTCTCTCTCTCCATTTTCCCTTTTCTTGTTTTTAACTGCATTATTCCCTACCTCGCTTTCTAAACAAGTGCAACTCAGTATGTACGGATCAGGGTGATCGCTTTACATCCAGTTCATTCACATTAAGTCATGATATCAATGAGAGAAATACATCGTGGACATTTTATCAGTGCATGACAAATTCGGTCTTTTCTTCATGCAAAGCTGTCGTACAGTTTGAGAAGACAGTGAATATAGCACACATAGTCGTACTGGCTGCATTTAAGGTGCTTTAATAGTATTTCTATTCTTTTTGGAGTTTAAAAATGCTTCAAAGATTTATGCAAATACAATATTGGCAAAATTTTAATTTTTGAGTGAACTCTTCCCTTAAACGTCAAGAAAATGCACATGCACCTTGACAAATCCAGAGCCCAAAAAGCATTCGCTCTCCTCACATGAGGCACCTCGGGCTCAAAGCATCGCTCCCTCAAGAGCGCAGCGCTTTTCATGCAGGAGAAGCATTCGAAGGCGGGTGGGAGTGCAACGCGAGCGATTGGGCCAAGAGGTTATTATGAGCAACAAACAGCGCGGTGGAGGAGGAAGAAAACAGGGATGGAGGGACGTCTGGAGAGGCCCGTGGAAAAAGAGTGATCGATGAAAATGAAAGACATAAATAATTCAGAAATCCATCTGAAAGGGGAGCAGAAGTGGGGGAAGGGAGGAGAAAAGATGAGAACCTGGTAAGAGTACCTCATAAATACAGACGTATGCACCTGCGGGGGTTTGCATGCGCACAAAGCTGTGCTTTGATGAGAACTCTTAACATTCACTCCACACCTGCACACACTCAAACTCTCCCGATGAGCAGTATTTGACTGTCTTTAGCAGAAAGAGAGACGACGTGCCGCTGGGAGATGGAGATGCGGCAGGTACGTTGCCGCAACACTGATCTCTTCCATCTAGTCTTGTCCATCCAGCCGCTCTCTCTTTGTCTCTGTGCCGTCCTGCCCATCATGCAATATAGATGGTGCGATGTAGTACGCCTCATTACCAACACTCACCGCCACGCTCCTACTCAACTATTGATAAACCTCGGGCCTGGAAAGCATCCCTGTACTCGCTGGCATTAACAGAGGGGGCTGCTTTCTGTTGTAGAAGAATACCAAACAGAAGAGGAAGGGCCGTGTTGGGACAAAGCGCAGGAGTGACGCTTCTCGAACCGTTTTCTGAAAGAGGTTCGGCAGGTTCAGACACGGATGGCTCTATATGTGTGGTGCTGTCATCTGAACAGCACCTGGCGGCACCCTGAACGCCAGACGCAGGAGCAGAAGAGTGAAGCGAGAGCAGTTGGCAGGGCTGTGCATTACCTCACTCCTAGTTAACAGCATGGCAGTGGAACAACTCCTGCCAGCGTGTGCAATGAATATCAAACCTTAATGCGTTTGCAACAGTCGCTCCTAGTCGAGCACAACATTTATATACAGTCAAACCAAAAATTATTCAGACACCTTCAACACTTCTCACATTATCACAGTTTACTCACTATGGTTTAGAAATATGCCAAGAACTCAGAGTTAAACTGTGTCTGAACAAATTCATCTTGATAATGTCAGATAACTTTGATAGAAAGGTATGTAATGAATCAGACTGTCAGCTGTTAAATTTAAGTACACAATTAGATAATACCAATTTAGGTCAAACAATTACCAAGCAGTGGTTTGACTGTATAGCTACTCCAGTGAGCAAGGCAAAGGAGGCTAAAGAACAGAAGATGAAAAACAACTCCACAAGATGTTTAAGCAGAGAAACCTTGTGAGGAACCAGACTAGTGGGCAGGATCAGCGACACAGAGGAGATGAGAGTCTGGAACCAGAGAGTTCCCGCTGGTGATTCTGAAATGCCCGTATGAACTCCCGATTCTGTCCATCATAAACATAAGTGTCATTCCAGCCTGTCACACCTGTGACCCGTCTCGGCCTCACAACCACAGTGCCACACTTCCACCTCCGTGTATGTCAGAAGATACATGCAATGTGGCCTTCTGAGCCACATTTGACATCCCACTGGAAACCTGGTGTGCCCTTGAGAAGCCGGAAGCGGGGAGAGGCCACCAGCAGCGACTCGGGCCATCTGTTTCCCCGGCCAGGCCAGTCTCAGAGCCATCTCCTGCCGCTCCGGTCCAGTGCTGCTGATCCGTGCCGGGCCGCGCCGTATCAATCAGCATCGGTGTGGAATGTGTGATGAGTTTACGTGTGTCAGTGACAGCTGGATAGCACTTATCAAACTGTGATGATTCTCTTGCGTAACCCTGTATCGCCTCTCTGCCCTGCTGGCCGTGCCATCTGCTGTTGCGAGGGCTTGTTGCTGTCAAACACGCTCGATCGCTCTAACAAACATTTACAGGTCGGCTTCCTGAGTAACAGCTTCTTTAATGATGCTCCTAACCTCTTAATAGATGCTAACCTCCCTTCACATTTGCTCCGAACACGAGTAAAAACAAAACAGAAGGCAGAGGTGATCATGTTATTCCATAAGGAAAGTTGAAAGCTTACAACATTTAAAACAAGCAGCTTTTATGGAAAACTAGTTTTAAATTGTGTAACCTCCGATCTGGTGAATATCTCTCTTGAAACAGAGCAGGATTCTTGCACATGTGACACTAATGAGAACTACAGTAACAACATTTCCCCAGACCGGTTGACCCAAGATAACTGCACTGAGCTGGAGACCATTTATTGGCTCTCTGACCAGTGTTAGGCTTGTTATCAAATGGCTTGCAATAATAAGAAAGCAACTTATTCAGGCATCAAACTTCCCTGGTGAAAAAACAATAGAAACCATCACAGAAATTCTATTGGTTTCCAATACAAATACCATTACAAACAATCAACTTTTAAC